GACTTGGGGGGGTAGGACTCTGTGTTTGTAAGAAGCACCCCCAGGGCCTGGCTGGTGTGGTTGAGTATCGACCTATGAACCAGGAGGTCACAGTTCAATTCCTGGTCAGGGCACATGCCTGGGTTTTGGGCTTGATTCCCCCATGTGGGGCGTGCAGGAGGCAGCCCTTCAATGATTCTCTCTCATCATTGATGTTTCTATCTCACTCTCACTCTCCCTTCCTCTCTGAAATCAATAAATATATATTTTTTTAAAAGAAGAAGCACTCGCAGGTAATGCTGTGCAAACCAGGCTGGAGAGCACAATGAGCAAACTGGAATTGTAAAGGTCGCTGCCCTGGAAAGGGAGCAGGCGGGCGGGAGCTTCCGGGACTCCTGCATCCCCTGCTGACACCCAGCACTCTTGCTTCCCTCTGAGCTGGAATGGGGGCTGTCGTGGCTGGTCCCCTTCCATGGTGTTCTCAGCCTCCAGGGCCAAGCACACAGGCTATCTAGTGGTTGCTGGCTGATAGATGAGCACTGGCTTGCATGGGTGAATGAATGAATGAATGAATGCTCATTGGGCTCAGGCATCCAGAAGAGGCCTGGAGAGGGGGAGGGAGGACTTCCCACATGGAGCCAGATACGGAGGGCAGAGGGATTTTGAAACAGAAAACCCAGCATGCCCAGGGGAGGTGGGCTTGGCAGGGATCTGTGGGACAAGGCTGCCCCACTGTGAGGTTCACAGCCCTTCCTGCTAAAGGGCAGAGGGTCCCAGGTTTCCCTGCTGGGGCGGGAGGGAGGGAGAGGGAGGACAGTGAGGCAGTGGAAAGAGTTCTGGGCCACCCTGGTTGATGGGTTCTGTGACTTGGGCACGTCAATGCCTCTTTCCAGGCCTCAGTTTCCCAGCCTGATGTTATCACCAATGACTGATGTTCAGTTCTCCTTCCTCCTTCCTCCCATGTCATGGAAGAGGAGGGCTTTCAGATGGAATGGGAGAAGGCTCCAGCGGGGATCAGCTAAGTGGGCGCTGTGACAGGCAGGTCCACCCGCTGGATGGGGCTTTGCCAGAGACCCAGGCCCTGGCCAGAGGGCAGAGTGGTTCTGCCAGGGATGCCCTACGTATCAGAGGTGGGGCAGGGCAAATAGGCAGAGGTTCTGCTGAGAAAGGATGCCTGGGGTTGAAGGGTATCCCTGCCAGGTGGGATGTGTCTGGTGCTGGGTGGGTGGGTTCTGAGCTGGACAGGAGGGAGGCCTGACCAGAGCTCTGCATCGCTCTGCCTGCCCTGGCTTTCAGTGCCGGCACCTGCCTGGTGGTCCCCACAAACCCAGGAGCTCACAGCAACCCCCTCCACCTCTGCCCAGTCGTCTTCTCTAACCTTGATGTTGGAAACTAAACATGGCTAAGGGACCCAACGCAAGGCCTGGCACAGAAGCAGTGTTAATGTTTGCTAAGTGAATTAATAAATTAATGAATAATGAGAATGGTGCGGAGAAAGAAAACAATTGCTGGAGACTTCCAGCCGGATATATGAAGGGGACAGTGCTCGAAGGAAGTTCCCTGTCCGGCGCACACAGGGTGTGCTGGGGTCCTGTCTGGGTCTGATGCTGCCATGTCTTGCATCAGTTTCCCACCCCCCTCCCCAAGCCTCACCAGCAAGTCCTCACCTAGTGTCTGGCTGTGAGGGAGATTATGGCAGTGGGGGTGGTAGAAAGCACAGACAGCCGTGGGCAGGTCCTCGGCCTGGGGGTTTCTGCCTTTCCCCTCCACCAGCCTTTGGGCTAACTGTTTGCACAAAGGCCTCCCTTCTTTTCCTCACCACTTTACCCCCCCACCCCCCGCCCCCATAGATGTGGTATCTGGGCATTTCTGGGGTCAGGGATAGAAGCGATGATCTCCAAATCAGAGTGGGGGGTGGGAGGGAGGAAGCTAACATTTATCAAGAAACTGCTACATGCCAGACCCATTGCTTATACAGCCTCATTTATGATCACAGCCTTTGTAGAGTGTATGTTGTCCCCATTTCATTTCCTAATATAGAGACTGCACACTCCATGAACACAAGGACCATGTCTGTCTTATTCACTGCATTCACAGGTTCAGGACTTTTGAATGAATGAATGAATGAATGAATGAATGAATGAAAGACCCTAAGGGGCTTAGCGTTCATGGAGAGAGCGA